GAAGGTCATTACACGGAGAAAGCTGATATTTGGTCACTGGGCATCACGTGTATTGAGCTGGGTTCGTACTCGTCATTTTGATCTTAAGTGATTGCAGTTAACGTAATCTCTTTGCATAAAAATAGCATACAGCTTAATTTCTACCAACTACCTGACCCTTCTCAATTCTTTTATTACAGCTGAGCGTAGGCCGCCATTATTCAACATGAACGCTATGTCAGCATTGTATCATATTGCACAAAATGACCCCCCAAAGTTGGCTCCTGTCACTGCTGAAAATCAGCCGGATTGGTCAGTATTTTTTTTTGCTTTGCGCCATAGTGTTTGAAAATCTATTTTGACCTTAGACGACAAGCAGATATAACGCTTTTGTTTAGGTCGGACCAGTTCAAAGATTTTGTGGATATCTGTTTACAAAAGGAAGCTGATGAGCGTCCTTCTACAGGAGACCTCTTGAGTGTAAGTAGAAGTTCAAAAGTGGCTTGTCTAGCTGAATGATCCTCACTTCTTTTTCTAAAAATCACTTGACGAAATACAGAATCTTCTTGTTCAATATAATGTTTAAACTTTCATTCATTCAGCATGCGTTCATTACGTTTCCTGAACACAAAGGAGTAATTCAAGAACTGATTTCGAGAACGAAAGCCATTGTGAGTTGTGTCTCCTAACCTATGCTCTCTATTCGTGCACCTCTAGATCATCTTTAGGTGATGGAATTAGATAACTTCCAGTACAAAAAGATGCGAAAGTTAATGTATCTTGATGAAATCGAGAACAAAGACAGTGATACCAACCAAGGTTTGTCATTTATCTTCCATTCCTTCTTTTAACATATCGAACTCTTTCGCCTATTTACAAAGGCAACTTTAATAAGTGGCTTATGCTTTGGAAGTTTTAGGAAATAACAGGGCCAGTTCAGTCACATTACAAATTGATTATTTTCTAATTGCAACTTTATTGGCAGTTGTTCAAGCTTGTTGTGGTCTCATTTTTTGAAAATTTAAAGCGAATATAGGATTTAGTGGGGAGAGGGGGAATAATTTTGAAAAGGAAGTTTTGATGAAGCAAAACTTACACTCATTAAAGGGGGACATAATATAAAATAAGCGTTTTTACTTGAAATTCTGCGATAAACAACTCCTATTGTTTTTTTCTCGAACACAAAAGCGACAACTTTAGAGTCATTCAGATAAGGCGAAATCGGCTTAAAACATCTGCGCTCTTGTTATTTTGAAAATGGGCATATAGATCAGAATGCAGATACTTTTTTCTTAAGCGCTTTTTTTCCAAAGCGAGTATTGTATGTAGCATCAATACGTTTTGTCGCTGAAATTTCGCTGGTTTTACTAATAGAATGTATATATATATATATATATATATATATATATATATTTCTTTC